CCTTCTATCATGGCCTAGAAACCTTGGAGAACTGATAATTTGGGAGACAGGCCCAGGACACTGCTGCTTACACTACCTCGGGATGTTGCTCCCTGCATCCTGGTTGCTGGGGCTTCAACCATGGCTTGAAGTGTTTTAGGTACAGCTTGGACTTGCCAATCAGGAAAAAAAAAAGTCATAAGCCTTATGGGATTCCAGGTTGTTTTAGTCTGCAGATGGCCAGAATACAATGGTAGTGGAGGCTTGGTGGCTTCCATCTAGATTTGAAATGATATATCAGAAAGCCTGGGTGCCCAGGCAGTAGCTTGCCACAGGAACAGAGACCCCACAGAGAGACTCTTCCAAGACAATGCCAAGTGGAAATGCAGGGTCTGAGCCTCTGCAGAGAGCACTGGGCATTTTTCATTATTTTGTGAGTTGTGGGGGCAAGATTACTGCCTTTGAGACTCAGAATGATAGAACCACTGGAAGCATGAAACTTTAGCCTGGAAATATCTCTGGCATCTCCAACCTATGAGAACAGCCATGTGGTCTATGCCCAGCAAAGACATGGAGTCAGGGATGCCCAAGGTCTTGGGAGTCCATTTGTCACCAGTGTGGCCAGAGTGCAAGGAACAGAATCAAGAAAGATCATTTTGGATGATCTCTAAGCCTTAATGTCTACCCTATTGGGTTTTGGACTCTTGTGGGACATGTTACCCCTTTCTTTTGGCCAGTTTCTCTTTTTTTTGGAATGCGACTCTTTACCCAATGACTGTTCCACCATTTTATCTTTGAAATAACTTGATTTTGATTTTACAGGCGCACAGCTATAAGGAATTTTGATTTTACAGGCACACAGCTATAAGGCGCACAGCTATAAGGAACTCATCTTGAGTCTCAGATGAGACTTTGGACATTTCCGTTAGTGCTGAAACAAGTTAAGACTTTTGGGGACAGATGTCATCTTGTTGGACAGATGACTCCTGAACCCCACCCTAGAACTCCTGAAACAGAATCTATGTCTTAACAAGATCAAATTCACAGCCATTGACGTTTGGGAAGCACGGATTTAGGCCACCTTCCAAAGAGGGTCTTTGCTTTGTTTTTCGTTTTTCCTTTTTCCTCCCCCTGACGTTTGCCTGGTAAGATTTTTCATGAGACTAACTCATCTAGGAACTAGGTGTATGTCTGGAATTTGAGCTGTTATTTGCATGAGGAAGACACCTTTGCTTGAGGTTGGGTTCTGAAGGGAATCTATATTTTGGACTTTATTAACATCATGTTTTGATGAGCTCAGAGGAGACCATACTAGTCAAAGTTCTCAGTACACTGAATTTTGTATATAAACTGAAACTTGTATAAAATGTCAGAAGTATCATCTGTTGTGAAAAATAATGGCACACAGTATAATTTCAATTGTCAAAGCTAGAACTGTCTACAGTGACTAAATGTCTATGATTCTGAAGTCTGTAATACCCTGAAGGATGATATGGATTTATCATATACATCTAAATCCACAACACCCAGCTGAAGCTCCCAACTTTGTCCTACAGGGAATCCTTAAGGCACTCTTAGGGGAATTTCAGTTCTTCACATTTCTTTCCTGGAAAAAACACAGAGAAATATAATTGGTTGACACTTGTGTTGAAAGCAAATTTATATAAACAACATTTTCCGAGATTGGGAAATCAGTCAGTGGGCAAAAAGTTGCTACCTGTGTTACTGCCATTCCTGTGTTAGTATGTACTTTTTTCTGCCTTCAGAAGTCTAACACTTTTAAACAATCTCCATAATTTCTTATAAGATATTGGTAAGAGACAAATTATTTTCTAATATCCCATATTCTTTATAAAACATGTAAAATGTTTAATTTATAATAATTTTGGATTTGGTTTATAGGAAGCCAAAATTTCCAGTGGCAAGTTGAACAAAAAATTGTAAATAATCTTCATATTTTATTTTCATAACTAAAATCTGGGTATGCAAAATAACTGTAAGATGAATTTTTCTTTGGTGATTTATCATCTTATTATCCCAACTATAATGACTTCAGGAGATAAGTTTTCGTTAATGAGAATTTTAAATGCTTTAAAACTGGGTTTAAACCTTCAATTTATTATGATTCTTATATAAGAAATCCTTTTGGTTATTCTGATGGAAAGATGCATTCTGTGTAATCATACTCTCTGTTTAAAACTATTAAGGTCTATCAATTAAATATTAACTTCTTTATATCTTCACCACTTCTGACAATAATTTCATTGATTATATATGGGATAGAAATATATATAATTAAATATGTAGAAACACATATGTCTCTATTAAGCTTTATTAAGCTATGCTATTTATAGTAATTTATATGTATATCTCAGAAAATATGCAGAAAATGTACTTCCCCTATTCCTTCCAGGATTTATGATTTATAATGGACCCAAACCCAAAATGATAATTTTTCATTATTTTGTGATTTGGTATTACATGGAAAGAAACTCATTCTATATAAAAATGCATGTAGCAAGTAGAATTATTACCATTTGTTCTTTATATGGTCTGTATCAGGATCCATTCTTTGGCTCACTTGATTCTTCCAATAAACAAACAAATAAAAAACAAATGGAAAATACCATGTTTCCAAATAGAACCAGAAAGATTTCTAGAGAAATGTAGCTCTACTTACTGTAATAACAAAGATAAACTTTCAGGCAGTGCCAAAATATTTAGGAACAGCTGAAAATTAATAAAATAAAATTTTAAGTCTCTTCATCTTAAACAAATTTCACAGGAAAAAGACTGAATTTTTTTAATTATAAAGATGTGGGGTACAATTCAGGGTTAGGTATACAAACATTGATTATGCAAGTACCCTTGTTAATGAGGTGTGCCCTTCCCTCCCCTAGCAGTTTCCCTCAACTGCCAAACCTATCGTCCCATCCCTGACAGTTTCCCACTACTGCCAATCCCTTTCTTATAGTAAAGGAAATAAAAAGACTCTCGGAGCTGACAACTATTAATGAGCATCAGCATTAATGTGAACATTCAGCCCAAACTTCCGAGGCTTTCTGTTTGTTTGGCATTCATGCATCTCTGATACGCTCTCTCCTTCTGCCTTTCTGCACGTATTCATCTATGACTTTGTTATTCTCTGCCTGTTTTTCTTTCTCCTTCTGGCATTATATTCACCCATAAGAATTTCCCTTTCCACTTTTCCTGTCCCTTTTTCCCTCTAGATGTTTTCCTCTTCTCTCCTCTCATCTATCTTTTCTTCTTAACTGAAAAAGAAAACAATTCGTCAATGAGCAGTAGATAAATGTCAATTGCTCTCCACATTTCTTAGCGTACTCTACATCATTTCTCTCACTGTTGTGCCACTTGTGTCCCATTCATGTCTTATTTGCTGACCTTAATCTTATTACATAATCGAAACAGCTTTCTCTAAAACCACTAAAAATGTCTTAATTTCTACACTCAGTGATTTCTGTTTTCTCCTTGTCCTACTAGAGCATTTGTTTTGGCATTTGGGCTTGTACTTCACATCATCATTCTTAGCCTATTTCCTTTCTTTCTGTTCACAACACTCAGCTTTCTAGTTGCCCTTCTTCTTCCCTTGATCTCTCTGCTCAACATCCTTTCCTGTTCTCTCATTTGTGTCTCTCTTGAACACCCAGGGCTCTGGGCTGCAACAGGAAATACGTTATTCAATGGTATTGACTCTAACATTGAAATACTAGGGAAGCTGGAGGAATCAGCTGGAAAAAAAAAGGCAGGAACAGAAGGAAGCAAGGCAGCCAGCCAACAGCCAAAATCCTGTCTTAGCATTAGCTTCATGAGGGCAGCTGTTGCTGAATGACACAGTTTGTATACCATTGTTGTAAATACGGGATGCATGAACTGGGATCTTGATATTTTTGCCTGGGCTACTTTTGTATTTTCTTTTTCTTTGGTCCATGTATATTTGTCTCCATCTCTTTATATCCAAATCTAGGTTGAGTAGGTTTGATTGGACAAATCTAGGTCAAATCCTCTGTGGACTGGGTGCGGTGGCTCACTGCCTATAATCCCAGGTAGAGGTGAGAGGATTGCCTGAGCCCATGGATTCGAGACCAGCCTGGGCAACATGGTGGACCTAGTCTCTACCAGAAAAAAAAATCAGCTAGGCGTGATGGTGCATGCCTGTAATTCCAGCTCCATGGAAGGCTGAGGCAGAAGGGAAAGATGACTTGAGCCCAGCAGGTCGAGGCTGTGGTGGCCATAAGTATGCCACTACACTCCAGCCTGGGTGACATAGTGAGATTCTGACTTAAAAAAAAAAAAAAATCCTTTGTGGGTCACCAAGACTCACTTGGTAGAAAAGGGGATCAGGGGATCAAGTGTCAGCCATCAATAGATGACATCCGTTCCCTCTATAGCCTGTTTATTATACCTTCCTCTAGTTTTGTCATTGCTGTTCTTCTCTTTTCTTTGTGTTCTGCCAAAAGATAAGACATCCATAATTATGCCCTCAATCATGCCAATGATCCCAAAGTCCTTATTTCTATTACTCTAGTAGAATTATATTACTGCATACATTTCAGCTGGATGCTCACACAACAAACTTATCAATGCATCTGAGTTCTCAATCTCTATTTTGGGTGACAATCAGCTTATTCACATCAAATATGTGATTGAGTCCTAGTGATTCTGTATTCTGAATGCTTTAGAATCTACTTTCTTCATCCTTTTTATTACTCCTAACATTATATTGCACACAGACTAGGTACTTTACATGCATTTCAATCGCCAAGAAACATTTTTTAAAAGCATATTATTTGATCACATTTTTATAATTAAAATAACTGCATTTATTTTGACTTCTTCAGTTCTCCGAAATAGTTTCCATCTATTAAAGTAATATAACATTAAATTAAGAGGCTATTGTAATAATAGTATCAGTTGATATCAACTTCCTTCCTCCAGTGTTGAGTTTATAAGTCTAGTGAATGCTCTTTTACACATTATTGCATTTCCTTTCAGGAATATCCAATGAGAATATGGAAAAGGAAAATGCAACATTGCTGACAGAGTTTGTTCTCACAGGACTTACATATGAGCCAGAGTGGAGAATCCCCCTGTTCCTGGCATTCTTGGTGATATATCTCATCACTATTGTGGGAAATCTTGGCCTGATTGTTCTCATCTGGAATGATCCACAACTTCACATCCCCATGTATTTATTTCTTGGGAGTTTAGCCTTTGTGGATGCTTGGATATCTTCCTCAGTGACCCCCAAAATGTTGATTAACTTCTTAGTCAAGAGCAAGATGATTTCTCTGTCTGAATGCATGATACAATTTTTTTCCTTTGCGTTTGGTGGAACCACAGAATGTTTTCTCTTAGCAACAATGGCATATGATCGTTATGTAGCCATATGCAAACCTTTACTTTATCCAGTGATTATGACCAATAGACTATGTGTTCAGCTGTTAGCCTTGTCATTTGTTGGTGGCTTTCTTCATGTCTTGATTCATGAAGTTCTTATGTTGAGATTAACCTTTTGCAATTCCAACATGATACATCACTTTTTCTGTGATATTATACCATTGTTTATGCTTTCCTGTACTGACCCATCAATTAATTTTCTAATGGTTTTTATTTTGTCAGGTTCGATTCAGGTGTTCACCATTGTGATTGTTCTAAATTCTTATACATTTGCTCTTTTTACAATCCTCAAACAGAAGTCTGCCAAAGGCATAAGGAAAGCCTTCTCCACCTGTGGAGCTCATCTCTTATCTGTCTCTTTATACTTTGGCCCTCTCCTCTTCATGTATGTGCATCCTGTTTCTTCAGAAGCAAATGATCAAGACATGATGGATTCTCTCTTTTACACAGTCATAATTCCTGTGTTAAATCCTATTATTTACAGCCTGAGAAATAAGCAAGTCAAAGATGCACTCACAAAAGTGTTAAAAAGAAATGTTTAGATCTCATACTAATCGCCCTTCTTTTGAGTAAAAAGCCAGAATTTCGCAAGTTAGGTATTGCTGTTTTGTTAGGTGTTCAAAGTTTTTTTGTAATTATAATTGTCCTAGCATTTTAATGACTTAAGATTTTGTGCCTAATAAACTTCTAAAATATTTTGTGTCATTCAAAAGCATACAAGAAATTTTAATCAAGTGCTTGTGTCATATTAGAATAATTAAAGCAGAAAGCCAAGAAAAATATTTTACAGGCTTAAATGTTCTTCCTGTGGCTTTATAAACGCAGTACTTGGTAAAGTAGTTGAGTTCCTCTCAAAGGATCTGAGTAGCACATATCATACAGCTGACGGAGTTGTATGGTCTGTAGACTAATATCACATTTAACTACATTGTGGTGGCAGGTTTGTGTTTGGTTGACCAGATGAAAATCCCAGGAAATCAGTTAGTCCTCCAAAGATATGTTAATCTACTTTATTGGGAGATAGAAAGTTTTGCTTCTCCATATAGCTTGGAGAAACAAGCAGAATGGGTACACAATCATGAAAAAAATGAGAAGTGAGTTATAATTCTGAAGGCAGAGCCAAATCCTAAGCTAATGATCTTAGTTATGTCTGTTTCTATGTGTCTATCTGAGTAATGAGAAAAGGCACGTTGCCTCACTTTACTTATTATGCCTTCAAAAGCTTTTTCCAGTTGTATTTGTGAGATACTGGGTAATGTACAGAGATTCACTATTTCCAAAAAGCTAACAGATCAAGGATTAAGTCAGTGTGGGTGTAGTTAAGAAAATAAAAATCAGAATAGAAAATAAATGATCTCAGTTTTCCCAGAATTAAGAAAAATGAAATTAATAAGAAAAGAAAATTAGTAATATTTTAATAATTATTGGAATGTGTTACAGAGAACAAGCTGCATTAAATGCGTATTACCGGGCTGGTTGTGGTGGCTCATGCCTGTAATCCCAGCACTTTGGGAGATCGAGGTGGTGGATCTTGAGCCCAAGAGTTGAAGACCAGACTGGGCAACAGAGCGTGATCTTGTCTCTATTAATAATAATAATGATGATGATAATAATAATAATAAACGCAGACTACCAAAGATCAAACAGTGTGAAAATAGTATGCTCTCACAGTGCTCAGTGGGTGACTGGGAAAGACAGAAATGAGAGTTAGAATGTGTTGTGACTGAAAAGTCCTTGAGTTTCAGCGTTCCTCACACTACATTCTCTTTAAGTTTAATGAGTGACTCATCTTCATATCACCCCTGATCTTCCCCTCTCAACACTAAAATTCCATCCACATTTCTACTGCCACCACCCAGGCCCTAGGCCTAAAATGACTTACTTGTCTGTTCTGCAAAACTCTAGTTACTGTGTCTCCTGTCCTCTTATACTCTTTTATTTCCTAAACACTGCTGCTGAATGATTCTTTGTACACAGAATTCTGATAAAATCATATCCTGCTTTGTTAACTTTCAGTGTATTGTCATTGCTACCAGATTATACACATATGTGGTATATGACATACATATATCAGAATTTATATGTATGAATATGCTTATTTGTTCACGTATGTGTACGGATAGTATTATATGCATATATATGTTTATCAAATTGTGTTTACTCATCTTGAATTATTTGAGGTTCTTTGCTAAAACAATCCTTGATTTAACCCTGGAGACTCTTCCTATACAGTTCTCCTAGTGGTCTTGTGTTATAGCCAAAATGAGTTACTGAATGCTTCCTATCTATCCCTTACCTCTCACGTGCATGCTACTTTTTTTTTTTTTTCCATACAGGTCTCTCCACAGAATCTCTCTCTGTTGCAACTCCTCCCTAAATCATTTGCAACTAGAACAATATCTTTCTTCAATGTGTATCTGAAATGTTACTCCTTCTGTGAGGCTTTTGCAGATTACCTGGAAGAGGCTAGGAATACTCACTTATTTGTAACAATTAGCAGTTTATGCTTTGTACACTGCATTTGGCTTTCTATAGCACTTATTTTTGGTTAAAGATCTTTCAGATTACAAATTACAAATGCTACTATTCTTTCTTTCTTTTGCACTGGGGAACACAATGGTTTACACATATGAGACCCAACATAAGTATTTGTGAAATCCAATAGAATATGATGACACTAATACATAGAATACAGTAAGAGTGCATCACTCTTTTTCAATCTGCAAATGAGCACAAGGAGGTTAATGAACCAGGGATGGCTGCTGCATGTCAATTCACCTTACATTTTTTTCATGACAGTAGAAAGTATTATACAAGGGGAACTAAAAAAAAAACCCAGAATCTATTTATAAAAATCGTGCATTTACTCTTACATGTTTAAACTTCAGTCACCTTCGAAATACTCTCAGTTTGATTCAATACACCTATAGAGATGAATTTTCCCACTACTCAAATCAGTTTCTGACTTGTCAATTTTGATGCCCTGTAGTGCTTCTGCGGTTGGTTTTCTCTCACCTCTTCCACATTGGCAAAATGTTTCCCTTTGAGTCCTTTCAATGGGAAACAAAAAAAGTCGCTTGGGGCAATATTAGTTGAACAGGGAGGGTAAAGCACATGCTGTTTTTGGTGAAAACTCTCAGTGCCATGCGGGCAGATGCGCTTGTAAATCATCCATCATGAAATGGGCAAACGCGTTGAAAGACTCTCCAAAAAAAATTCACTGAAGCTGAATGCAACCTTACACAACAACGTTAGCAGGTACACTAATGCCAGGGGGTACCAGAATACTTAACGAGCCAGGGATGTCTGTACTACAGACGGGGCTCACTCTCCAAAAGATAATTCTGATTTTTTGTTTGTTTCCCCCCTTGTACAACTAAAGTGACTTATTCTTACTTTTCTTTTCACTAGGATTGGCTCTTTGTATAAACTACAACAAAATATCATTTGGAAGCGATTCCATCTTAAAGATTAAAGGACACAAAATATATAAATATTTAAATCAAAATTTTTTCTTTCATATAGGCAGAGATCAATTCACAAGATTAGACCAGATAATTTGCCCTCTTTTTGTTCCCCAGAGGGATACCACTTAAGCTCCAAGAAACAGAGTGAATGGATCAGAGTCCAGCTGTTTTGATTTTTCCTCCTCAAAGAATCCCTATTATTGCATATACTCATAGTTTGCTGGGTTTTACTGCTGTATAATTTTCCTATTGAACTTATTGCTTTCTATCAAATATCTACATTTTGCTTGTTTGTTCACTTTTACGACCCAAAGACTAGTTGGTAATATAAGCATCTGGTATCTCTTTATTCTGCTGTTTCAAAGCTATTTCTCTAATTAGCTTTTGCCTTGAATGTGAAGGTAAATGTCAAACTATGAGTGCATGGGTAGGATTATGTAACCTGTTAAGTCTTACTTTATGTTAGGTGAGTATGGAACAGGCAATTGGGAACTCTTCAGCCTGGTCTTGTACATTTCTAGTCAAAAAATTCTTCTACTACGGTGTATCCTTTAATATAATCCCAACTACTTTCTGCCTTTCAGAAATTCACCAAAATCTCTTTTTACGTGATCCTCTTCTCACTTCTGTTATAGATTTAGTTCTTTTTGTGCATTATTTTTGCCATTCATTGCAATCTTGGGAAATAAGTAAAATATGAACCTGGGAAAAACCTCCATTTTGAACAAGATGTGTTTCTGATTCTTTAAAAAAGAGACTATGACAATACATAAGTATTATTTAATGGATATTTAGATGTAAAGAATGACATCATATTAATAATTCCATTCAGTGGCCTAGAACACTGTTCACATTGGATTGAAAGCACCCAAAGGAAATACCAATACAGTAGAAATATTTTTTACCATAAAAGTGTATTTATTACTTAACTTCAACATTTAAAATAGTTCATACTTTCTCTATATTTGTATATACATTGTTTTCCTAATTATCTTACAATGACTTCTACTGTTCATGAGATTGCTAACATTATCTTAGACTCTGGTCAAAGAAATATTATAATTAGGATTTAGGTAAAAACAAATAGCAACTAAAATGAGAAGAGCACTGGTCAAAGTCTGTGTTTGGACCCTCCACCCTCTGCTTTTTACTTTCCTCCTTGTTCTGACAGTTAAATGTAGACGTTGATATGACATCTATTGCAAAGGATGAAGTATTGTGGTGTTTTTTTTAATGTTTCCTTGGGAACTATTATTGACTGTGATGATAGCCAGTCAAAGCTCTGTTGCTTCATTTCAGTAAGGTTAGTGGGAGAAACCTATGTTCATTAGAAAAACTTGTCAAGCTGGATCAAACTTTGGAACATTGTTCTCAAAAATTTTTACCCACAAGATGTGCATTTTCTGAACTGTGATTATATAAGGTTTGCTTTTTCTCATAAGGTGTCTTCTAAATGAGACTTATCTGAGAGTAGTAGCTAATAGTCACATCATGGTATCCCCTCTATTTTTGTAGAAGTTCTCATAGAAGCTTAGATCTGTTCCAGAGATATCTCCTATTCTGAGACCCACTTAGAACCAGCAGCTTTGGGGCCATTTATTAAATGAGCCAGAGTAATACATCCGAATGAGGAATAAGCTGTCTCCAAAATCCAAAGAGCCCATTAGGTACTGTGCCTTTTTCTAGCAACAACTTACCCTTCACTTTGGAAGAGATAGCTTAACATTCCCCACACCACCCGACTCCTAGAAATTTTTTTTTTTTTTTTTTGAGTTGGAGTCTCACTCTGTCACCCAGACTGGAGTGCAGTGGCCACTCCCGGCCACCGCAGCCTCAACCTGCTGGGCTCCGGCAATCCTTCTGCCTCAGCCTTCCAAGTGGCCGGAATTACAGGCATGCGCTACCACGCCCGGCTGATTTTTTGATTTATTGTAGAGATGAGGTCTCGATGCCCGGGTGGGTCTCGAACCCGCGGGCTCAGGCAATCTACTCACCTCAGCCTCCCAAAGGCGCGGGATTACAGGCTGAGCCACCGAGCCCGGCTTAGAAATTTTAGAGATAGAAATTCCTCTGAT